AAGTTGAGGAATGCATCGGGCTTGTTATGTGATAGAAATGTACCCCTCAAACTTAAAGGAAAATTCTATAAGATGGTAGTGAGGCCTGCAATGCTTTATGGTGCCGAATGTTGGCCATTAAAAGAGAAGCATAATACTAAGTTAAGTGTGGCAGAGATGAGAATGCTCAGGTGGATGAGTGGCTTTACCCTTAGAGATAGGATACGAAATGAGCATATACGTGAAAAGGTTGGAGTAGCTCCAGTAGAAGATAAAATTAGAGAGAGTCGCCTTAGATGGTTTGGTCACATAAAACGACGGCCTTTCGATGACCCGGTTAGGAGAGTAGAGGTATTAGATTTGACTTATGTTAAGAAAGGTAGGGGTAGACCTAAAAAGACTTGGTTAGAAAATATTAGGAATGACCTTTCTTTATTAGGTTTAAATGAGAATTTGACTTTTAATAGAACACAATGGAGAAAAAGGATTCATGTAGCCGACCCCACGTAGTGGGATAAAGGCTTGATGTTGTTGTTGTTGTTGTTGTTGTAAATGTAATATGAAACCTCCTATCCATCGTAGAGCCAACACTATGGTTGCTTTTACATGAGTTATAAGGCCGCTAAAAATCCTGAACATTGTTGTGCTTACATATTGTAAGGTGTGGTGTTGAAGTAATAAGTCGAGCATGATTAGTGGTAATACTTATAGGCATTGATGTGACCACCATCGTAGGGTTGGCAGGTGTTGGCGTAAGAGTTCTTAAATTCAAAGATGAATCTATTGGTTCCAAGTTATGATTGTAGTTTTGATCTAATAAAGGATTAGCCTCCATAGTGATAGAGGGTCGGATTTGATCATTTGGTTATATCTCTTGTGCTTAATAATTAGAGTTCCTTATATTTGGATGTGACATTTGGAGAAGTAATGCCTAAAAATTTTATGGGATGAACAATATGCTGGATGCCTTCAAATTTAACCCTTTCCAATTTCTGCATGATAAGGAGTCAATTTACACCCCTTTTTTAACTTTTGAAGTGATGTCTAGATCAATCAAAACATTGGTCATAGATGGCCTTGAAAGACAAGTAGTAACACTATCCACTTACAAAAATATGCCTAATATAGAATCCAAGGATTAAATGAAATCGGGGTAATGAAATTCAAATTAGAGTTATAAGTGATTCCTTAGAAGAGTCAAAATGGGATGACCATTTTAGCATACACATCGGGAAATAATTAATGTTGTTGAACCATCGAGAAAGAAGTTTGGTGTTGTCTTCCTATAAAGAAAGTTTAATTATAACATGATGATGGTTTATAAGCCCAATGAAATGGTCACCTACTAAATACAAATCAGCTATAAATTTGCTTTTAATCTCCAAGTTTGTGTGGCCCAACGAAAATTTGCCTATAATAGAAAAACAAAGAGGTAGAAAATTTTTCGATGTCTCTTATAAGAACAATAACAATAACAAGCCTTTATCCTACTATGTGAGGTCGACTACATCGTCTTGTATTAAGAGTCAAATTTTCTTTTAAATTTAATAAAAAATGATCATTTTCAATATCTTCTAACCAAATTTTTTTAGGTTTATCTCTATCTTTCTTAACATAGACTGGATCTAATATATATACTTTCCTAATAGGGTCATCAAAAGGATGATGTTTTATGTGACCAAACCATCTAAGGCTACTTTCTCAAATCTTATATGCCACTTGAGTTATACCAATCCTTTCACATATACTCATTTGGTATTTTGTCTCTAAGTATAAAGCCATTCATCCACTTGAGCATTCTGATTTATCCAACACTAATTTAATTTATGCTTATCTTTTAATGGCCAACATTCTATGCCATAAAGCATTGCAAATCTCACTACTTTCTTATAAAAATTTCCTTTAAGTTTGAGGGGTACTTTCCTATCACATAATGGGTCCGATGCATTCCTCCACTTCAACCATCCAACTTGAATTCTACTAATAGTATTCCCATCAATTTCACTATCACTTTGAACAGCTAATATATCTAAAACGTGCACTCTTTTTAATAGATCTTTGACTACTAAAATTACACTCATATATTCGATTTTAGACCTACTCAACAAAAACATTTAGACTCTTATGGTTGATCTCCATAATTCAAGTTTTTTATCAGCTCCCTCTCTAGTCTTATCAACAATAAGAATATCATCAGTAAAAAGTATAACCAAGGTATATACTCTTGCAAATGTCTAGTAAGGAGATCCATGACTAAAGAAAAAAAAAGGCTTAAAGTTGATCCTTGATATATTCCAACTAAAATAGGAAAATACTTTGTGAAACCATTATGTGTTTGGACACAAGTAACAACTTATGTATATATATTCTTAATGACTTAAATATAAACATTATTAGCTCCTTTCTTTTCTAGAACTCTCCAGAGCATTTCTCTTCTAACTTTACCATCCTAAGTTATCCTAAGTCAAAGGAAGTGAACAATTATGATGTCAAAGGCAAGATGAAGAATATAAATTGATAAAGGGTGGGAAAACAATAGAATAATGCAACACTATGACCATAGGAGCAATAGAGTTTGACATCAAATGCACTACGCGAGCGTAAGCACATGATATATTGTCCACCAATGTCGTAAGACATCGGTGCCAGAGATGGGGAAATTGAGTATAGCCCACATTACGAAAGCAACAATAAAATTAGCATTACAGTAGCTTGTGGGCTTATAAATGAAGTGAAAGTCACGTCACATGCGTACGACTTGCGAGCAAGATTGTGAGATCTAGTGCCATGATTTGCTCAAACTCGACAACACACGAGCGCCTGTATTATTATTGAATTTAAGTTAATTTAAATTTAAGTAAGATTATTAGAAGTGTAAGTTGTGAGATTGAGTCAATTATCAAATTGTATAATAAAAATAAACCTATTGTTTTATAATCTTGTAGATAGGGGTGTCAATTTCAGGTCACGGGTCGGGTTCGGGTCGAACCCGGAATTGACCTGGGTTCAAATGAGTCGGCACTAACCCGACTCAGGTAGGTAAACGAGTCAGAAATTCGAACTCGGACTCGACTCGGTGGGTTGTTGGGTTGACCCGACCTGACACGGGAAGGCGAGCTGCCTGGTGCGCGGGGCTGGGTCGCACGGGCTACCTGGTGCGGACGCTAGAGGCGGGGAACCCGGGTAGCCGCATTGGAGCGCGGGGCGTGCGGGTTCGCTAGCAGCCACGTGGGTGTGCGGGCAGGCAGGCAGCCGCGCGGGAGTGCTGGTAGCCGTGCGGGTGCGCGGGCAGCAGCGAGCAGGGGACGGGTAGGTTCACTGGCAGCTGGGGAGGGGGCGGGCAGGTCCTCGGGCAGCTGGGCAGTCATTTCAAACGGGTTTCCGGGTTGACCCGACAACTCGTCGGGTCAACCCGAACCCGACCCGTTTTGGAAACGGGTCGGGTCTAACCCGAAAATTCCATGTCGTGTTCGGGTCGGATTTTCATGTCGTGTCAAATATTGACACCCCTACTTGTAGAGATAATGCTTTTATTTCTATTTACCAAAACAAATTGAGCAGTCTTTTCGTGCATAAAGAAAACAAAACACAGACAAAATGAAACAAAGCCAAAAGGACATAGCTTAGCGTTACACTAGCTCAAATCTATTCCATATTGTTCCTGACTTATAGCCTTATAGGCATGTACTTTCAAGTATAAAAAAGCAACCTGGTCATAAAACAGGAGAAAAAAAAAGAAGATTTTGCATGATTAGGCAATTCGTACCAATCCTAAAAGGAGTTCTTTGCTCATGTTTGTGCGCTATATACTTTCTACGTATTTTCGGACTTTAGCTTTTGGCTTTTACTGTTGTAATCCTTTGTTTTTTAATTTTTGCTGTTGGATTTTATGGTTGTACTAATTAATCCTTTGAGCAATAGTTTAACTTTGCCAGTATTCAGTTCATATTGACGAACATAATCAATAGTTTCTTTAGTGTCTAAGGCTTTGTTCGGGACGGCTTTTTTGATGCTTCTTAAAGCAGCTTTCTAGTACAAAAATTAAATTTTTTGTACTAGAAAACTACTTCAAGAAACAACTAGAAAGTCCTCCCAAACGAAGCCTAAAAGCTATAGCATGCTTTCAAGTTTGACTGATGCCAAGTACATTTTTCATCAGGCAAGTATGGATGATCTGGTTATAGATGAAGAGCTGGGCCCTTCTGAGTTGATTAAACATTTTGGGAAATTTGGACGAATACCACATAAAGGCATTATGAACCACCCTCACCCCAATCAGCTTTCTGAGGAGATAGTTCGTTGTATGAAAGATATTTTCATCTCCCTGGCAGATTGCTCTAGTTTACCCTTAAGATTTTCTTCACCAGAGAGCTTTTGTCCATCAACATCTCCACAAGGACACAGTCCAACTTTTTGGCCACTATCTGAGCTTACATCAATCTCCTCATGGAGACACAGTCCTCAAACGGACATTCAGTGTAACAATGATGTTTTAACTTCGGGAGGCATTTTTGATCCATATAAAGTCCGTGGAAAATTGAGTTGGGTTGACATTGGTAATTATAGTTTGGCCAAAGAAGTTTCATGGATGTCAGTGGAGAAGAAGCAACTTGAATATGCTTCGGATTCATTAAAGATGTTCAGGTTGTCTCTTATCATTATGGTCCTTTATCAAATCCTTATGTTCAGTCCTGCTAAGATTACCATAAATAAGCTGATGAAGTGGTGATGGAAACTGCCTTTTGTGATAATTATTTTTTAAAAATACTCAAAATACCTCAACTTTTTTTTGAGTTATTTAAAAATAACTTGATTTGTTTTTAACATAAAAAAATATACTTACAAAATACTCTAAACAAACATATTTTTTCAAAAACAGAAATAAAAACCAAAAACAAAAGTGACTCCAGAAAGGACCTTAGCAAATTCTTTCCAAAAGATTTCTAGCTGACTAGCTTAGCATTTTACTACTAGGAGATGCATGTTCTTTTAATTGCAGCACTTGGTTTTGATTCTTTAAACACTAATATTCCTCGTTTTGGCAGATCACTTATTGAACAGTTGGCAGAAGTAAATCCAATTCACCTCAGCTACAGTGAGAAGTTAGCCTTCTGGATCAATTTATATAATGCACTCATCATGCATGTATGATACTAAACTACATTGTTTTTTTCAATTCACTACGGCTGTTTATGAATACGACCCTTCATTTTGGAAAGAAGTGGAAATTCATCACAGGCAATTTAAATCAAAATGTGTTTTATTATTATATGAACTGGTTTTCTATAGGCTTATCTTGCATATGGTGTTCCTAAGAGTGACATGAAGCTCTTTGCATTGATGCAAAAGGTATGTTCTCACACCATATTCCCACATACACGATTCAATGTTATCTTGCATATGGTGTTCTTAAAAGTCAAATTCTCATTTAAATCTAATAAAGAAAGATCATTTCTAATATTTTCTAACCAATTTTTGAAAATCCCGCTTAAATTTAAAAATTTTCGCCAATGGCTCACGAGCCGGGTCGAGCTCGTTTACAGTGAGACGAGCTCGAACTAGCTCTAGTTCGAGCTTGCTTTCCAACTAACGAGCCGAGCTTGATAAGGGCGTAAACTCGGCTCGACTCGACTCGTTTACACCCCTACTTGCAATTTCCATTGGCACGTGGGATACATGTGTAAGATTTTAAGCTCATTAAATTCAAAATAGTTTTATCTTTAATCTATAATTTTTTAATGCATTACTTTGATTGCAAACAATGAGTCGAAAGCATCGTTTTAACTTGATCATTTGCTTCATATTTTTTAGGCAATGGAGAATGGTGGCATCTAAATGTTTTCTGTTCTTAGATATTTATTGGCTCTAGCTATTGGCAAGTTTTTTCGGATTGCTCATTATTGTAGTTGTGCAGCATGTTTCAATTTCATCATAAGCATGTCTTACTCAAATCCTACTTGAGTTAACAGACTTAAATCCTGATGTAAGTAATCAAACAATTTGAAAGGATTTAATTGGATTTAGCATGTATCATGAAAAATTATTTTCAAGATTTATTTGCCTCAAGATTTAGTAAATCCTGATTTCCATGGTTTACTAAGGATCTATTTGGGACTGCTGCAACGTTTATAAAGTTGGTCGTGAAGTTGCTGTAAAGAAAACAACTTCGCTACTATGGTTGCAGTCCACCATATAAATTTTTGGAAAACAACGAGAAAGTAGTACGAAAGCAACACCAAAACGAAATTGTGGTTGTTGTCTTAAAAGAAAAACGTTAAAAAAAGCTGTCCCAAATAGCCCCTAAATACTACTTGCAACCAAACAATCCCTTAGTTTTATTTGAAAAAAAAAAAAAAAACTGAAAGGAATCATTCCTGTGAAATAATCTAGTAAGACTTCATTTGGGATAACTTTCTTACTGCTTTACTTTTTAGACCTCAATCACAATTTTTTTTTGGCCATTGTTTTTTCACTGCTTGAGGGAAAATTCTATAAGATGGTGGTTAGACCTGCAATGCTTTATGGTGTAGAATGTTGGCCATTAAAAGAGAAACATAATGTTAAGTGTTGCAGAGATGAGGATGCTCAGGTGGATGAGTGGCTTTACTCTTAGAGGCAGGATATGAAATGAGCATATACGTGAGAAGGTTGGAGTAGCTCTAGTGGAAGATAAAATTAGAGAGAGTCGCCTTAGATAGTTTGGTCACATAAAATGGCGGCCTTCTGATAACCTGGTTAGGAAAATAGATGTATTATATTTGACTTATATTAAGAAAGTTAGATGTAGACAAAAAATATTAGAAATGATATTTCTTTATTATATTTAAATGAGAATTTAACTTTAACAATGCACAATGGAGAAATAAAGGATTCATGTAGACGAACCCCACGTAATGGGATAAAGGCTTGATGTTGTTGTGTTGTTGTTGGTGAAGCTGCTTTCACAATTGCTTTCACAAAAGTTGCTTTCTCCATAACATCTTTACAACCACCTTTAAAAAACTGCAGCCGTCCCAATTGAACCCTAAATCAAATACCAATAAGTTAATAAAAGCTTGTTACTGTTTTTATTTATTACACTTAGCTCAGTTACTGCTTTTATACCTCTCTGTGAGAGGCGTTTCAATCGTATTCAAAATGCATGTTCGTTTTTTTTTGTCCTTGGTACTTTCAACTGCGGTTCATTTGTAATATCGAATAGTTTTTGTTCTGGGTATCTAATATTTTTATCTATGATTGTTCATCACAGGCTGCATACACAGTTGGAGGCCACTCATTTAGTGCTGCTTGCATTGAGTATGTAGTTTTAAAGATGAAGCCACCCGTCCATAGGCCACAAACGGTATTTATTGTACAGATTCTTTTCTAAGTAATTTGTATATGATTTCTTAACTAAAGTTGCTGGTTAATTTTGTTGCTTTGATCAGTCTTTACTTCTCGCACTTCAGAAGCTGAAAGTCTCCGAGGAGCAGAAGAGGTTCTCAATCGATACGTTCGAGCCACTAGTGACATTTGCTCTAAGCTGTGGGACATACTCTTCCCCTGCAGTAATATTCCTTTACATCTCTTCATTTTTTTCATATTTTTTTGTTTGTAAATTCTGAAAAGAACCACCCTTATTCATTTTGCATAATAGAATTTTTTTTCTTCTTGGTGTTAATTGTGGTCTTGATTGTTGTGTGCCTTTGTTTGGCTTGATTGTCCAAAAATCCTGTTGTTGCAGGCTTCATTGTCGTGCCCTTCTTCCATTATCACAATATGTTGTCCGTTCTATCTTTTAGTGGACGCAAAAAACCTTCATTGATGTCTACTACAATTTTACTTCTTGATTATTGTACTATTTTTCTCTGTTTTGTTCCAACCATGCCATATCTGATCTCCAAGAAGTTGCAATCTTGCGTTTCTGCCATTTTTATTGTTCTCTATAATTTTTTTGTTGTTGAAGTCACAACACCTTATGCTGGCCCATCTTTATGATAACATTAGAAACTATCTTCTAGTCTGATGAAAAATTTCGGCTCAAGTCACGCCTGCCGATCGTTGCTCAAGTCACCAATTTCGACTCATTTCTCGCGTTTCTTAGTGTGTGGGTCAACAGACTCCCATAATATACTTATAAATTATACCAACTTGTTAAAAATTCAGATGTCTTATAATCCAAAATATTAAATTGCACTTCTATTATACATATTCTAATATGGCATTTTCTCTTCACCACGTAGCAACAAATCAGTTTGGTATAATAACTATAGTATCTAAAAAGGTAATTGGGATGAACTTATCCAACATCTCCTATTTGCCACTAATTCCTCTACTTTACAAAGTAAATGATGAATTTATTGTTGCCCAATTTTTTCTCTGATCTCCATCCATCTGTATAGTTTGTTCAAGTTCAATCGATTGCCGACTCACAGTTGCAATCATCTCCACAACTCCCACAGATTATCAAGGCCATTGAGTTCATTGCATTTTCTTCTTTTGATCATAGACAGACTTCTCTTGCTACAACACAAGACAGTCAGAGAGCAAACTTGGTTAAACTCTTTTCCACCTTGTTTACACTATGAGGCGATTAATCACTACACACGTCATTATTCATACTTAGGCTTCGTTTGGTTACCCAATGCCTTTTGTAGAATGTAGTTTTAAAATTTTTGTTCGAGAAAATAGAGGTTTCTAACGGAGAAACTAGTACTAAAAAGTTTTTGAAAACAGTACAAAAATGAAGTTCCGTAAAAAATAGTTTTACAAAAATGTTAAATACAAACAACAACAATTCAAATCAGAAAATGCAAAATTAAGCCCTTTCAAACGAGGCCTTAATTCACTCTTCAAAGCCAAAAGGCTTGCAGCGGAGAGGAACTATTAGATTAATAAATTGATCGTACAAACTAGGAGCTTAAGCTTTTACCCTTGTTTATTACTTGAGTTCACCAGTTCTTGAACTTGCAGGTAAAAGTTTACAGTGCAGGAAATGTGAAGGAGGAGCTCCAGGAAGCTCAACGTGACTTCATTCGCGCTTCCGTAGGAATGAACAATAAAAGGAAGCTTCTTGTCCCAAAGATGCTTCACTCATTCGCTCGAGGATTTGTCGATGATTCAGAAGTACCAATCTGGATATCTCGATTCTTACCTCAGCAACAAGCAGGCTTTGTAGATCAATGCATCTCACAGAGAAGATATAGCTTGCTGGGCTCTCGCAGTTGCGGAATAATCCCTTACGACTCCCGATTTCGATATCTTTTTCTACCTGAAATACTGCCCTGATGATTTTGACCATTCACCAGCTTGCAATAACTGATTTGGTTGGCCAGCGATCAAAGCTTAAGCTTGCTCTCCAGAATCAATTAGTGAGGTCTGGTTTTGTTGGAGAGCATTACAGGCTACCAATCTGCAATTTGTTCAAATCCTTTCGAACATGAATGAGGGATTGTATAGGTGATTACAATGAGCTTTGCTAAGGAAACCAAATATTCAAGACCTAATGGTAGAGCTAAATTCTGAAGGCATCTCCTGTTTCATTTTGGTAGAGATGATATTACAGTTGCTTCAGTCCTACTTGAAAGACCTGTTCTAATTGTAGCTTCAGAAAGTTTTTCCCTTAACCACAATCTTTGAGTTCTTTGAAACAGGGAAGTCTCTTCTTAAAGGAAAATTTCTGAGCTCTGTTATGTGGGGTGTGAATTAATATGGGCTTGTTTGAACGGCAAATTATTAGGTCCTGTGAAATTATTAGGTCCCGTCACCGGACCTATCTCTAGGTCCGGATATTAATAAAATATTATTTTAAGTTAAGCGCGTCAAAATCATAGGTAAAGCACATCTAAAGCACGATTATAGCATAGTCAAAGCGCAAATGACGTGGCAAGTTTTTATTGGATGTCCGGACCTAATAATTTGAGACAGTTTTCTTACTAATTTTTATAGCAGCTTTTTAATTATTTTTTTAACAGCAAAAAAGCAGTGGTCAAAAGCCGTCCCAAATTAAAGCTTTAGTCAATAAAAGATTTTGAATTGCTGCATAAAATATGTGAAATTATGCAAGAAAAAGATAGAAGTTAGGGAAGATTGCCAACCAAGAGGATGAAGAATGAGAAGGAAGCTTTGTCCGTTAAATCTTTTATTTCTATGCAAATTATTTTGTAATTTAATATAAGAAGAAAGCAATGTTTTAATTAAAGGCAAAAGAAAAAAATTGGGTGAGTCAATTTGATAAGGAAGGAAAAAAGTTATTGAAGTAATTTTTAATTTAAGAGTAATTAACTTTCAATCATTTTTAGAAAGATAAAAGATCTTAAAGAAGTTTAGATAAGGATTATATATATATATAACATGTAAATAAAATTTAGCAATTAAAGTTACAGTGAATAAAATAATTAATAACATGTAAATAAAAATATTAAAAGGAAAAAGTGCGTACATAAAAATACATAAGTTCATCCTTTTATGGTATTGGCTGTGGACACAACGTATCCATACACGCTAAATGGGAAATGAAAATAATTATACCTTCATTGGTACAAAATTTTGACGATGCTTCAATAATAACTAAGAAGGAGAAATAACTAAATGAAGTGGAAAAAGGGAATAAAGATATTTGAAAGAAATTTAATTGGAATCTTCATTTATATTAAATATTTATGAATATGTTAAGAAAATATAATTATATTTAATTGCTATATTATAAACTATAATTATTCACAAACAGCCAAAAACATAAGAAGTATCACACTATCACCTGCTGTTTCTCTTTGTTTCAACATCCTTCACCACTAACAAGAGACATAGTGTTGCAAATTAAACAAAGACGAGGGTGTTTATGAAGAGATTGACATTTTTAGAGGGTAAGCATGTCAGAGCATATGAGAGTCAAAGCATAGATCCTATATGTAAGAGAAAAATTATTTTTTAAAGTGAGCCATGCACGTGCGAACTGTTTTAATATTTTGCTATATATTATTTTGCATTGATTGGTTATTGTTCATCAAATCATATTAATTATGAGTTTCCTTTTACCCACAAAGCTTAATATCACATGGGTGGTGGGTGGCATACACAATATTGTTTTGTCTTTCTCTCTATATATCACATGAGTGTCGAGTTTGAATGCATTCGGAGTGCCACATCATCCAATGCACGCGTTCGGATTAGCCTGCCAGACACATCCGGGCCAATCCGAACACCGCACGTAATAATTTTTTCATGTGTGGTGGGTGGCATAGATCCTATATCTAAGAGAACTCATGAACATAATTTGATCACATGAAACTTTATTAATGTTTTTTTAAAACAACTATTTAGAAAACAATAAAAAAAATTGTACTAAAAAAATTACTTTAAAAAATAATAAGAAAGTTGTTCCAAATGAAGCCTCATTCTCATTTAGATCTTATATTAACTTGTAATTCATCACCTCATGACATTAGTACTAATTCAAAACTTCTTAAATCTTGTATTTTTTAAAATACAAATTTAATAAAATTATTCAAGCTTCTTTCTTTTGATGTCTTAATCTCTCTTTTTCAACTTTAGGCTTGTTGCGGATTGAAACATTAGTTTTGTATGAAACTCCAGCACACACACACACACACACACACACACACACACACACACACACACACACACACACACACACACACACACACACACACACACACACACACACACACACACACACACACACACACACACACACACACACACACACACACACACACACACACACACACACACACACACACACACACACACACACACACACACACACACACACACACACACACACACACACACACACACACACACACACACACACACACACACACACACACACACACACACACACACACACACACACACACACA